TCGGACAGAAGAGAAAAACAAAAGTGCATTTGAAGCAAGCGATGAATTTGATCTGGGTGAAGATTAAGCTAACTAACTACGGTGTACTTAGTTGACTCGTTACTTACTAGTTGAGTTAATAGTTAATTAAAATGGCGATGACTCCGCGGGCGGGGCCATCCGGTCTTCGGCTTTGAACAGATAGCGAACCGCGACTGTTCGGGCTGTCGAATTGACCGAAGCTGGTCCACTGAAGCTTAGCATGTTATCCAGTTCCACTCAATCATGAAAAAGTTCCATTGAACCGTCTCCATCCGTAAGCTTGACTCAAACTGCCGTATCCAATAGAACGACCCGTGGAATGACGGCTAAACATTGAACCCCTCTCCCCGCATCGCATCCGGTTTCGCCCTGCTTTCATTCATTCATCTGTATTTAATCCAGCTTCTCCCCCCAGCTTCACTATCCCACTTAACAACAATTCCCACAATCCATCCATCCCTTCCAATTCCTCTCTTCTCACCACAAACACCACCACCACAATGGCCAACGAACGCATCACCTGGATCGGCCTGGGCAACATCGGCCGCGTAAGTTCCCCCCTCCAACTGCCCCTCATTGCATCACCACCCTCAATTACACAATACTAATCACCCAATTCAGGCCATGGCAGCCAACATCGCCCAAAAAGGTCCCCAAACAGCCCCCATAACCCTCTACAACCGCACAACCAGCAAAGCGACGACCTTCGCATCCACCCTCCCCGCCAACAAAGCCACCGTCAGCACGACCCTCTCCTCCGCCATCTCCACCTCAACCATAATCTTCATCTGCGTCGGCGACGACGCCGCCCTAGAAGCCATCATCTCGGGTCTCCCCACGGACTCCCTCTCCTCCAAGATCATCGTCGACTGCTCCACCGTGCACCCAGACACCTCGCGCAAGATCCACAGCCAACTCGCCTCGCACGGCGCCTCCTTCATCGCCTGTCCCGTGTTCGGCGCTCCCGCGGCCGCCATCGCGGGCCAACTCGTCGTCGTGCCCGCCGGTGACGCCGCCACCATCGAGCGCATCAAGCCCTTCCTGGATGGGGTTACTTCCAAAGCGACGATCTCCATGGCGGGTGAGGATGTGGGCCGCGCCACGACGCTGAAGATCCTCGGGAACACGTTTATTCTGAACACCGTGGAGACCGTGGCGGAAGGGCTGGTTACGGCGGAGAAGACCGGGTTGGGGGCGGATGTGTATCAGCAGTTCTTGCATACGTTTTTCCCTGGCCCGTTTGCGTTGTATGCGGATCGCATGGTTACTGGGGATTATTGTCGGAGGGAGGAGCCGTTGTTTGCGGTGGATTTGGCTAGGAAGGATTTGAGACATGCTAGTAATTTGGCGGGGGAGGCCGGGGTTAGGTTGAGGAGTGTGGAGGTTACGGATCATCATTTGGTGAATGTTAAGGAGGAGAAGGGGGTCAAGGGGGATGTGGCGGCGGTTTATGGGTCTGTGAGGAAGGAGGCCGGGTTGCCTTTTGATAATTAGATAGGTATGGGTGTATTTGTGGGGATTGGGGTATGTAGAAAATAGCAATAGATTCAATTAAGCAACTAATTTAACGAGTTGGGTATAGTTGGGTGTAGTTCTTTGGGCTCTGTTTTGGTCTAAACGAATGATAAGCAAGGGTGAACCAGGAACAATATAGCCGTTAAGCAGATGAGCGAGTGACTAAAGGTTGTAAAGTAGCAGTTACTCCTTAACCCTTCTTCGAACTTGAATCCTCTACCTCGCCCCGATACTTTGAGATCGCGAGCAACGTCTCCAACAGTGCTTTCTGCGCCTCCAGTTCAAGCAACTGGCTTCGCGCATTATCCAGTAATATCTCCAACTGCTTCAGCAGGTTCTTCAACACCCCGACCTCCATTTCCACCCCTCTGGCGGCGTGAACTTCGAGATTCTCGAACTCGCGCCAGAGAGTGGACGGGTCCCCGTTGCTGCCACTGCTACTGCCGCCGCCTTGCTCCTCTGGAGGAACCGCCCGACTCGAAGACGCTTCGCCTTTTTCTTCGGGCTCGAACATCTTGCGGATCAAGCGTAGCTCTTTGGCTGCGGATGCCACGGCAGACTTTGCAGTGAGTATTTGACTGGGATTCGTGGTTGGAGTGGAGGTTGAGGTGGGCGGAGGTGGGTTGGGGCCCAGGGGTGCTTGTGCCTCTGCATCCTGACCGATGGAACCAGACTGGCTAGAGAGATCTTCATCGAAACTGATTTCGTTTGCAGTTTGAACTGTTTGGGGCGGCTGCGGTGCTGGTTGCGGACCTGGCTGAGGTCCTGGTTGTGGCCCTGGCTGCGGTCCCGGCTGAGGTCCTGGTTGGGGGCCCGGTTGGGGTCCAGGCTGAGGTCCCGGTTGAGGTCCTGGCTGAGGACCAGGTTGAGGACCAGGCTGTGGCCCAGGCTGGGGTGAGGGAGGTGGTGTGGGAAGAGGAGTTGGGCGTGGATCCATCGCAAGCTTTGTTCTCGGTATCGTGCTGGACTGTGGATGGAAGTAGTAGTATCGGTGGGTAGATGAAAATGAATAGACACGACAAGAGCTGGGAAAGACACTTAGTGTGTTTCTCGGTGTGAGTGGTCAGCTCATGATGATGTATGAATGTGTGGTCTTTGAGAAGAATATAGATCCATGTATACTAGTCGTCATCTCCGTGCCAAAGCGCCCGAATAACCACGGATACCCGTGCCTTCGCGTAGACGGGAGCAAGATGACATTAGAATGAACATCAGATTTTGATGTTATCGGGTCAAGCTCTAAGCTCCTACGAGACGGCTTGCAGGTTTTGAGGCTATGACCGCATGGTTTGTACATAGAGATTGTCATGGTATAAAGGTTCGGTGACATCTTTGAGTCTGAATATTAGGAGGACTTCTGCCCCAGGTTTGGGACCGGGTTGTTAGGCCTCAGCGACTCACTAAATTACAGGTCAGAATTCTATCCGCAAAAGAAGGAAATTTGACTCACTTTTGCCAATACAATGCGTTGTAGACATGTCATCTACTAGTCCTGACGCTTCTTCTTACGTCACAAAATCCGATGTTGAAGGATTTAATATAAACAGTATCAGCATGGGAGCCATTGTCTATAGCATTTCAAGCCATTTATGTCTATCAGTTGGTTTTGAGTTCCTCCTGGGGTATATTCAACTTTTAGCGATGTGGTTGAGAGCTGGTCGAGGCCGAGGACTCTGTTGCAACTTGTGCATAGCTCGAGCATTGGTGCTGTAATTATTTGACTTCTAGATAGCTCAGTATCATCACTGAGCAACGAAAGTAAACCGACATGAAAACAGCAGTACTCACAGTTGAAGCTCTCTCGCATGCTGATCTTCGGGCTGACTCGGAACCATCTATATATAGTATATAGATCGGAGAAGAACTTACCAGCAACGTGTAGGTCATTGAACTGGCAATTGGCTCCTCCAATGAAGACTAAGCGGAATTGAAGCAGCCCGGGTAAGGTCGATCAATTTAGTCGAAACGTGTTTCTGACATGGAAAGGGCCATTTCTTAGTCTCACAGAGCATTCTGTGGGTGCGACCTGGCAATCACCCGCGACTCTATTCACGTTGATGCTGTGTCCCTAATCGGGTAACAGTAACTAGCAGTGAAAAGAAAGAGTGGGAGGTAGTCGTAATCCGAGCCGAGATATACCTCGAAACTGCGGAAATCCCAGACGGTGGATGTTTGGAGGTTGTCTGCATACCAGGGAAGGAACGGATCACGGGACGGTCCCCGTGCATGCGAGTTTCATCAGTCCTGCAGACTTCCGTCTCTCGCTGAATCCTCGTGCCATCTACATGAGACTTTTGCTTCTCCCGATAAAGAAAGTTGCGTGGCCTTGACCTCGTGAGTTATGGCGAATACTCGGTATCCTGACTCGGGAGTTAACAATCTGCCACAGACCTACAAGATACGCACACAAGAAGCGGCCTCGCCACCCCTAATTACACTTTGCTACTGGGTAGCAAGGTCCACTGTGGCTGCAGCAAGTGGCGGGATGTACATTGCATAGAGAGACTAACTGCTGCCTGCAGTTCTCAATCTCCATCTGCTGATAAGGCGAGATTTCGAAGAGAACACCAACGGAAGGATTCGTGCAGCGCCGCATATCCGCAGCAAAATCAACGCATCATAGCGGAACATAACCCCAAATTTTGGTATACGGAATATGAATAAGCTTCTAGCCCGTGGTCCCGAACCCACCCGAGGCAATATTCTCACTAGCTGTCACCAATCGATTAGCCTCCCATAGGGAGATCGCCGTTAAGAGTGGGTAGAATCCCCAAGGACAACTGTCCAGACTTCGATGCTGTCGGGCTAGAACTGAGCCCGGGGCTGCGGAAATCTGATAAACTCTAACCGCTTGACCTCGGCCGGACAATAAGCTTTCTAGCAACCTCTATTTTGGTGCAGCTCCATTTGCATATTCGTTCTATATGTTAACTAGGATGTGGACCTGAAGATCCGTATCACGCCTTTGACTTGCCACAACGAGCGATCATATATGCGACGGTTAGTGGACATCCTGGACTTGGGAGGAATGCCGAAGCGTTGACTGGGACGACCGGGTCCAATGCCCCAGCCGATGGGCCAACCGGGAGATCTCCCGCCTTCCGTCCAATAGTACTGTACTATTATGAGTATCGTCTGCTGAGGTGTCTTCACCAAGCATTTCTGGATCTGAGCTAGGACTACCAATCCGGATTATTGATCTACATATTTGGCCAAAACATGCCATGGCTGATGCCTTCAGGTATGAGCTCAGTCCTCTGACAAGCCTGTTTCAGGGCCGCGCGGAACTAGTTGCAGGCTTGACATCGTTATTGCTATCACCACACCCACGGAGCTGCAGAAGAGTAGCTACTTGGTCTCTTCGATGTAACCCGTCCCAATTGTGTAGACCCAGCCTTTGAGACTATTCCGGCCATATTTTAGTTGACCACCTAATTAACGACCAATGCTTGGAGGCATCCGAGAATGGATACTGGATTTGGTCTCGAACTGTGGCTGCATATATTCGACAATAGATGGGATTAATTTCAGTTTTATTTCAGCTGTTTTGGGACCAAAGCCACGCGATCATACTCTAAAGGCTTCCCCGGGAGCAGTTACCCTATGGGATCTGATTACTGATCCTGATCCCCTGAAGTGATATGTCGATCTGCGAATGACAAATGGAGAATTGGGTCAGGGACCTCTGCGCCATGGTGGATCATGTGGGGAATATTGAAGCGCTACCCAGAGAATAGTTTCGATGGGATAAGGCTAATTCTCCATCCCAATGGGGCAAACGTTGATAAGGAGCAGAGGCGAGTTGATCACGCAAGGAATCCATTACAGTCGTCGGTGCTACTACCCCTGCCTATGTTAGATGATCCGTCTTACGCCTATTGTATCCACTACAATCCGCCTTGGGCGAATTTTGCGACAGGTAATCCCAAAATCAGAGAAAGGGAGCCACGAGGGACCCACGGAACGGACAGCAAGGGCCGGAATGCCAGACTCATCTACTGTGTGGACGCGCGTTGTCTGCAATGATCTACTCAAATTACCTGGTTTGTCTGTCTTCCCAGCGTGGCTGTCAAGCTACTTATTGCCTTGGTTGTCTGTTGGAAACCATGTCGAAAATCATCTGGTGCCATTGTCCCTGATCTTCCAGCTCCTCTTACTATCTCCGTGTAACCACCCCCATCATTAACATGCCTACGGCGCCACCCGGGGATGTTGACTACTCCGCCGCTCTGAGCCAGGAAACTAGCCTGGAGAGTGCTGACACGATCTTTGTGGAGAAGGACATTGTGCACGTTGAAGAAGGAGAAATCAGATCACAAGATGGTGCATTGGAATCGGACGACCCCCAAGACAAGGACGACCTCGTTGTGGACTGGGACGGGCCAAACGACCCCCAGAACCCCATGAACTGGACAACCTTGCGGAAATGGGTCATTATAGGGCTGATATCTTTGAGCAGCTTCAATGTGTAAGTCCAACACGTCTTCGCTAAGACTATGCATCCGTACGAGCATCTGGATTGACTGTTATAGATCCATGGTATCCACGGTCTTCGCTCCCGGCGTTCCGCAAGTTCTGAAAGAGTTCAATGTTCACAACCCATCCATTTCATCTCTTATGATATCGATCTACGTGATGGGTTCTGCACTTGGCCCTCTGGTGCTGACACCTCTCACTGAGATAAGTGGAAGGCTTCCCATTACACACCTGGCCAATGTACTATTTGCACTGGCTGCAGTTGTTTGCGCTGCCAGTGTGAACATATCAATGCTTATAATGGCACGCCTCGTTATGGGAATAGCCAGTTCCGTGCCTGTGACGGTCGGCGGAGGCTTCGTTGCGGATATGATTCCCATGGAGAAGAGAGGGACGGCAATGACGATCTGGACAGTTGGTCCACTCATGGTGAGTTGAATCAACCCATTCAGCGGATATATAATGCGGATCTAACAGTACGTTAGGGCATGGTCACAGGACCTATTTATGGTGGTTACATTGTCCAAAACATTGGATGGCGTTGGACAATCTGGGTAGAGGCGATTCTTGTAAGTTAGATCGATTCCGTGGTGTTGGACGAATATCTAATTTGATTAGGGCGGTATCATCGTGATTGCTTCCCTGATATTCTTGCGGGAGACATACGCACCCACGCTGCTCCAGCGAAAGGCGAAGCGACTCCAAAAAGAGACTAGACGGCCGTTTCGAACTCAGTACGACCTGGATAAGACGATTGGCCAGATCATCTGGATCTCAATCAGCCGCCCGATCAAATTTCTGTTTTTATCACCCATCGTTATGATCGTTTCATTGTACAGCTCCATCACATACAGCTATATGTACACACTGTTCACGACGTTTACGAGCGTCTTCGAGAATGTGTACGGCTTTACTCCTGGAGAAGCAGGTCTCGGCTATCTGGGACTGGGTCTTGGGTTCTGTTCTGGACAGGTCGTCGTGGGATACTATTCCGATCGATACCTCAAGAAGCAGGAAAAGATCCATGGCAAGATGAAGCCCGAAGATCGTCTACCACCGTTGGTGGTGGGATGCATTCTCGTGCCGATCGGTCTCTTTTGGTACGGCTGGGCCGCAGAATACCGGTTGCACTGGATCGTTCCCATTGCTGGTACCTTTTTCGTGGGCGCAGGTATCTTCTTTGTTCATCTGGTCACACAGGTGTATCTGATTGACTCATATACTCTATATGCTGCCAGCGCAGTATCAGCGGAGCTGGCTCTGCGATGCCTCTTTGGGGCTACGATCCCGTTGGCAGGCACTCCTTTGTACGATGCCCTCGGACTAGGATGGGGGAACAGTCTGCTCGCGTTTATTGCACTTTTGTTTGTCCCGGCTTCACTTTTCTTACTCAAGTATGGTGAGAGAATCCGGACGAATTCGAAGTTTCAGCCGCGGATGACATGATTTTTGTTTATTTGCCACTACTGCGAGCATAGCGATGGCGTTTGGTTAGCGTTGGAGTTTTACGAATATTGATGTTTATGTTTCAACCTGCACAGACATACTCAACACCGAAGTGATAATGTGCAGCACGGAGGACATGGGTTATCCAATACTATGTTACATATCGCTGTCTTTGTTTCGTCAATACAAGGTACAAGGTATATACTGCAAACACCTACAAGAATCACACCTCGGAAGAATCAATACTTTCAGAGAAACTCCACATTCGTGTTCCAACAACGGCGGTGGTGAAAATGGAGAAGCACCATCTCAAGCATACCACCATCAAACAGTCAAAAAATCGTCGACCATGAAGACGAGCTTTATAAATACAAATAAAGCCCAAACATATATCAATTGGCCTGCTGGCCCAATGGTAAGGCGCTTGACTACGGATCAAGAGATTGCAGGTTCGAATCCTGCGTAGGTCAATTTTTTGCCCTTTTTTGCCCCCCTTCCTTTGCTTTCCTCTTCCCCACACAAAAATGCGCCCCAATTCTCGACTACTTTTTTTTTAACAAGCACATCGACAAGCACGACATTAAAAAACAATCGGAGTTATCCCAACAGACCCCATGACCCAAGTACAATTAGTTGACTGAGTCGGACTTTGAAAATTGTTGGGTTCGTATTTCATCCCTACTGCGTAACCCTACCTACATACTACCTACCTTCCGTACCCTACTCATCCCTGAGACCTGGATCGAGCCCCCAAGACATGAGAGAAACAATACCCTGTCTGCCACTTATATACTACCAAGTAAAGTTAGCCCGTACCGAACTCTATAAATGAGCCAAACACAAACAAGCCTTTCTTCAAAGGAAGGGGTTAAGTAGAAAGACAGTATTATGTTCAATGCCCCCCCTGCCGGCAGCCCATACAGTTACTAGATAGTATCTAGATAGATAGACTGTCAGACCAGGAATGCAGGACACCGCGTCGCTCGCTCGCCCACCAAATCAAGGGGTGCGTGCGAGGGAAGGAAGGATGGGATACTGACGCGTAGCATGCCAGATTATCTACCTACTACAGAGGATATAATAGCGGGTATTATTCCCGTTTCCTATCGAGTAATTCTTTCCTTCTTTCTTTCGTTCATTCATCCATCCCCTTTGAATATTGTCCCCATTACAGGAATCAAAAACCACAAAGACAATGAAGTTCCTCGCCCTCGCTGTGCCCGCTACCCTTGTCATGGGTGTGATGGCGATGCCGACTCCTGTACGTTCTATCTCAAGATCACTTCACACACCATGACCTGCTAGCGGTCAAGACAAAAGAAAGAGGCAAAAAAGCTAACAAATTCACCAACCCACCAGTCCACAAGCAAAGCGGCGCGTCTTTCAGGCGAGAACCTCCTCGACGGACTAGCCAAGGATGGTGGACTCTCTGGGTTCTTGTCTGGCGTGCACCTCCCCTTCTTGAATCCTAGTCCGAAGAAGGATAGTGAGGATCCCAGTGATGAGGATCCTGATGATGTTGTCCCGGCTGGTGATGATAAGGGACCGGGGGCTGATGAGGATAGTGGTCCTGCTGAAGCGACTGCTCCTGCGAATTATGAGACCAGGAGTTTTGATGCTGAACGCAATTCTTGGGATGTTGCTGTAGGGGCTGCTCCTGATAACTCCGGGCGTGGTAGTGGTGGTAGTGGTGGTAATGGTGGTAATGATGGTAATGATGTAGCTCCTCTTTTGGATGTTTCTGTTGGGGCTGCTGCACCCTATAATTCCATCCGAAATGGTCCGGCTGATGGGCCTGATGATGGGGATGCACCTGATGATGATGATAATAACGGGGATGGCCCGGCTGATGCTATCTATGGGCTTGAGGATTCGGCGGGTGTTGGAGCTGGAGTGCAGGATGGGACTGAAACACACTAGAGTTGGGGGGATATGGAAGGAGAAGGGGTATGAGATGATGAATGATTGATGCAGTTACAGGGTTCGTGTTTTTCTGCGGATGATTTTTTTCTGAGTTGGTTTCTGTTTGTCCTAATAGTAGCTAACTATAACAATATCGTATCACACGCGCAATCGGTTCGAAAATAAAGATCCACGCCAGTCATTATCGGTTGGTTTCATGAGTCGTAGTCGTAGCGAGCGTTGCCAATCGTCAAGTATCGTCATATAGGTGTTCAACGAAGGGTATCAGGTCTGTGTCACACATGTCGTAAAGAAAAGTAAAAGTGAGAAAAGCGCATTAATCCTCCATGTCCAAGTCGTCCACTTCCACGCGCGTCCCCAGTGCCTGTTTCCCTTCCTTGATCATTGCTTGTAGCTGCCGGTTCAACCGGGCAAGGCTGGCATCCTCCTCACGCTCCATGCGACGCTTTTGCGCCATGTAGCGTTGCGTCTCCACAGACACAGGGCTCTCCCGCGGCTTAGCTGGTGTTGAGAATTGGGATTTCGTCGGCATCGACGGCGCATGCGAAATCAGCGTTCGCTTGCCCTGCGACCGCCGACGAGAGTGAGTATGTGCTGGGGTCCGACGATGGACTCGTCTGCGCTGAGAAGGACTGGCTTCGTCCATAAATTCCTCTCGCGCGGACACGATCACCCAACTGTGCTTGAGATCATCTTCTGGATACTGTCCCGGAAAAGGGCTAGAGGAACCCTGTTGCCGCTGAGAAGTGGGCATGCTCTCCTTCTCGATCGATGGGGATGCCAGCTGGGGCTGTGCATCCTCCGCCGTCATGGTATAGCCTTGCCCACCGCCTGCATAAAACCCTCGGAAAGCTCCGCTCCAACAAAAGTCCCAAACTTTGCCTACCACGCCTAGCACCGCTCGACTCCAGCGGACGGGAGCAGGCTGTGGGTAAGCAATAGGAGCATTGACGGCAGGAGCCGCGGTCGCGGTCGCGGTCGTGGTCATAGTCGTGGTTGAGATTGTCATTTTCTCATCGTGACCGGTGGGAGAGGCTGCGATCAAAGACGGATCCCAGCGGCTGCGTTTACGGCGAATGTCCACGGTTTCGCTGAGAGATTCAACACTATCATCGAGAGCGAGAGATCGAGCAGGCTTGCGATAACGGTTGGGGCGATAGACTTGATCGACGGAGGTATCCTCCACACCAAGGAGGAGATCGTCGGGGGAGATCACAGAGGCGACATGACTAGAGGGAGTGTCGACATCCAGCCAAGGACGACGATCAACTTCTAGACGGGATCTCTTGCGGTTGGGGATAGAGATCGATCGATACAAAGCCGATGAAGCTGAGGGGGTGGGCGGGACTTGGAAAAGCTGTGATGGAGCGCCGGCCAGATCGAGTTGCGGAGGAATGGGGGACTCGAGGAAGAATGGACTGGCTGGCATCCTTCTTCAAGGTGTGGAGACGAGCAGTGGCTGGGAAGGACAGGAGATGCAGGGGGGTTGCATATGATGAAGCAAAAGAACGTGGGCGATGGAGATAGTTGTAGAGGTGAGAAAGTAGAGGAGGAGGAAAAAGAGAAGAAGAAAAGAAGAGGAGAAAAAACACGGGATTGTCCCCAACAAGAAGAGCCACCGCCAGCCTCCCTCTTTCTTTCTTTCTTTTTCCCTTTTCTCATTCCCCGTTACTTTATTTTTCTTTTCACCGCAACAATATTCATTACTATTGTTCCTAATTATTTAGTTCATATGAAACCTAACTACAGTTGAGCCTTCCACTCGCGATGGGCCTCTCGCAATGCATCCTCGCCATCCACCAGCACACACCAACCCTCGCCGCCCACACCACCATCTCCCACTACCGCTGCTGCGAAATGACCATCTAGAAAGTCCAACACACTCTTATCATACGTGCCTGGCTGGAGCCAGACAGCGGGGATCCCCACACTGTGAGCCTCTTTGAGGAGGGCAAGAGTGACTGGGGGAGGGGTCACAATAGACAGGGAAGTCTGGTCGGGGTTGGGCAAGTCGCGGGGTGATGGGACCGTCTTATAATTCTGCGACGGCAGCTCGATCTCCGGGGCGCGAGGGTTGAGGGGAGTAACGGGCAGGGAGTGTTGATGATACCAGGCAAAGACTGCTGGTCAGCCGGCGCAACGGCCTGCAAAGTGATGGCAAAAGGACCTACTCTTGTAGCCAAACTTGCTGCGATCGTTGCTGGCCCCTGCCACGGCAAACTGCGGCGACAGGAAGAAGCGGCGCGCGGCATCCATCGTAGCAGACATCTTGAGATCGTATTGGTGATAGAAGATATTTACAGATAGTCTGGAAAGAGTAGTAGGATAGGATGGTTTGTTAGGCGGACGGATAGTAGAGGAGAATGACGATGATGTGGGGGGAAGTGAAAGATAAAGATAAAGACGGGGAAGAGACGCGGAGAAGCCGAGCCTCGATGGCGCCAACTTCTCCTTCGCCTTCCTCCTTCCTCCCAACTTCTCCCTCATAAACCCCCACCAATTCCTTTCGCATTCTCTCTTCTTTCTTATATTATTCTCCAGATAAACTACAATTCTCTAGTCGTCTGCTTTCCGCTGCTTGCATGCCCCCCTACGTCCCCCGAAAGCGTCTCTCTTCCGAGGATCCGCCCGCCGCAAAACGTCGTCATGCGACGCCTCCCATCGCCGCTGTCATCGAAGACACCGACACCGAATCGTCCTTGAGTGACGTCCCTGAAGAGAAAGAAACACCCCAGGTACCAGATGGATCGGATGAGGAAAGCAGCGACTCCGACGAGGTCGACTGGGAAGACGCCATCGAGTCCAATGCCAACGCCACCCCAGTTACGCCCTCCATCCTCAACCCCGACCAGCACCAGGACCTGGAGTTGACATTAGACAAGAACGAGATTCACCTGACTGACCTACTTGAAGGCAAAAAGGGTCCGTCAAAGATCGAACGCCAAATCCGCATCCAGACCCATTGTCTACATGTACAGTTTCTGCTCCACCACAACGCCATCCGCAATGTCTGGGCCAACGACTCCCAGCTCCACGAGATCCTGCGCCGCAAGCTACCCCAACCAATACACAAGGAGGTCAAGAAATGGCGCATTGCATCCGGTCTCGAGGCTCCAGAGCCGCCCCCGGAGAAGAAGTCGAAGAAAGGAAAAGGGAAGCAGCGTCGCCAGTCAGAACGGGATTGGGCTGAAGGCTCGTCGCGACTTGAACCCGGCCAACCTGACATGAGCAGCGGTGACCCTATAATTATCCTTCTCAAAGTTCTCGCCGCCTACTGGAAGAGCAAGTTCAAGATCACCGCCCCTGGCCTACGAAAACACGGCTACCGCCCCATGGCTCAATTGGAGGCTCAGATCAAATCATTCCACAAGGACGACCACGACCCCGAAAAGCACGGCGAGAGGATAGCCAACATTGATGAGTTCCGCCACGCTGCAGAGAACATGCAGGGCTCTCGAGACGTAGGCGCCCAGCTGTTCACGGCTCTGCTGCGTGCGCTCGATATCGAAGCCCGACTGGTCGCCAGTCTGCAGCCCCTTGGCTTCGGCTGGACCAAGAGCGAGACCTATACTACCAAGCCAAGCGCAGACACCGAGCCATCGACGGAGAACGCAGAGACAGAAGACGCCATTGACATGGAGTCCGATAGCAGTGAAGACGACACAAAGCCCGCCCGCAGCAAATACTTCAACAAATACGATGAGGACCTACCCTTTCCCATCTACTGGACCGAAGTCGCCTCGCCCATCACCCATCAAATCATTCCCGTCGACCCGCTAATTCTCCGCAACCCTGTCGCCACGACCCCGGAGCTCCAGGCAGCCTTCGAACCTCGCGGCGGCAAAGCCGAGAAGGCGAAGCAAGTCATCTGCTACGTTGTGGCCTACTCGTCCGACAAAACCGCCAAAGACGTGACAACACGCTATCTCCGCCGCCGCACCTGGCCCGGCAAAACCAAAGGCTACCGAATCCCCGTCGAGAAGATCCCCATACCAGGCCGCAAAGGCAAATTCTACGAAATCGACTGGTTCCGCGTAATCCTCCGCGTCTACCAACGCCCTACACCCCTTCGCACCGCCGTCGACGACCTCGAAGACACCAAGGACCTCCTCCCGAACCAACCCGAACGCAAACCCGGCAAAGAAGGCGACACGCTTCAAAGCCTGCGCACATCCACCGAATTCGTCCTCGAACGCTTCCTCCGGCGCGAAGAAGCCCTCAAACCCGGCGCACGCCACGTCCGCACCTTCAAGACAGGCAAAGGCGCCAAAGCCAAAGAAGAGAAAGTCTTCCGACGCAAAGACGTCCTGAAATGCCTATCCGCCGAAAGCTGGCACAAGGAAGGCCGGAGACCCAAGGCGGGCGAGATGCCCCTGAAACGCGTGCCCATCCGCGCCGTAACTCTCCTCCGCAAACGCGAAGTCGACGAATTCGAGCGCCAGAATGGCGAAAAGCCCAAACAGGGCCTCTACGCTATCCACCAAACGGAATATATCATCCCCGATCCAATCTGCGATGGCGTCATCCCCAAGAATGAATACGGAAACATCGACTGCTTCGTCCCTAGCATGGTGCCCCGCGGCGCGGTCCATATCCCCTGGCCCGGAACCGTGCGCGTATGCAAGAAACTCGGCGTCGATTACGCAGAAGCAGTCACGGGGTTCGAGTTCGGGTCGAAGATGGCTGTCCCTGTTATCCAGGGCGTGGTTGTCGCAGAGGAAAACGAGGACCTCGTTAAAGACGCTTGGTTAGCGGATGACGCGGAGAAACGTAAACGGGAGCAGCGCAAAGCCGAGGCGCGAATTTTGCAAACCTGGCGGAAGTTTCTCTTCGGGTTACGGATCAAGCAGCGCGTGCAGGAGGAGTATGGTGGGAATGCAGACGAGGGGGTGGATCATGAGCGGGATGCTCATAATCCGTTTACGAATCGTCGTGGTCGGTTGCCTGATCAGGATGCTTCTGCGTCTGCGTCTGCGTCTGCTCCTGCTCCGGATGAG